CTCTGCCCCACTGCACTCATCTGGAAATGCAGAGATGTTTTGTTTGGAAACTTAGACACACCTCACAGTATTTACAAAGAAACTTTTACAGATACAATAATCAAAAGTTACCATCAAGAAGTAAAACCCTTCAATCCTCCTATTCTTACCAATTATTCAGCACAAAGCAAGCTGAGTAGCTGTCTGCAGTCAGCACTCAGTAGCTTTTTGGATTTTCCATTTATACAAAAACACTAAATATGTCCCTTCATCCAGTCTCTCTCTGATACTACCCTTGAGCAGATCACCCACATTTAGTGAAATGTAAAATGTCTTTGCTGCATTAAAAGAAAGGCTCATGAAACATTAAAAATGTCATTATGTCCCATCTGCCTTTTACAGAGTACTTGTTATCTATGAGCTACTTCTCAGTTCCTACAGATCACCTTTGTCAATGTACAAGAATTACAAGGCAGAACAAGAAGTCAACAGCTTTGTATACAGTGGAAATGCTAGTTAGGGAGAATGAACACACTGCATTTCTGCTTACTTCGTTTTATTTTTAAAGATAGCAGGAAGTGTACACAAAATGACATTAAATCCTTTCCTTTAGTTTTATCTAAATAAAAGATAACTCAATCTTCCTCCAAAAAATACCTATGTACAAAACTGACTAAATTAATCTTCATCGTCGAACAGGAACCAGTAGTTGGGTTGCAGTCATAGAGTCTGGGAAAAGGCTGTGGTATGTTGGAAGAGGTACATACGCTGCTGTAATCATTTTACCTAATCACAAGAGGAAAAAAAGTAAACATCAGTGTTTGTCATTTCTGTAATGGATGACTAAATGTAGGCGTGTACATGGAACACTCACCTGCAAACCACCTCCCATGCAAAGCATTGACAGCCGCGATGGCAGCAGCGATGGAGGGACATTTCACATACACATTGCCCTGCAAGACAGAATAGTGCAGCCCATGAGAACTCAGAGACACTTGCCCAATGCTGTTCCTCAGCCACCCCTGGACCTGGCTGGGACAGAGCCACACCTGCTCCATCAGGCACCCGCTGGGATTAATCCATAACACAGAATGAGCACAAGAGAAGGGGACGGTGGTACTGGCAGGCACTACTCCACTGTGGCAGTTATTGCAACCTTCAATTTTTCTAAATAGGATTTTGCAAGATAGCCCAAACATGCTTTTGACCAGCAATCACTGAGCCATGAATGGCTGATCTGCTCCTGAGAGCCTTTTAGAGAAAGGATCTAAAGGCTCCTAATCATTAACACCATGTGAAAGAAAACAGCACAAGGGGTCTGACAGCCCCCAAGGCAGCCCAGCTGCCAAGGTCTATATGCCACAAACCTCAACTACATATGCTCCACTCAACATGCAAGCTCACAGCCTGTATTCCACAAGAACCAAGCACTCCCCATTCCCCCAGACAGAAGCAACACTTCAAGGGAGACAGATTCCCTAAAAATTCTCCTCCATAAACATCATCATGTCTGTCTTTACTCGAGCAAGAACTGAGGCAAAGGGAAAATCCCATCCCCGCAGGGCAGGAAGAGCTTGAGATTGTTCCCAAGGCATATGACAGACTCATCTTTGAACTTCACCTTGAGTTTGCCATCTGCAGACCAAGCACTGTGCCTCCCTAATCCAGAGAACCACAACAGTCACACCCAACAACTCCAAGACACAGAGATGCCCACAGTAATGTGTGGCATTTTTCTGGTTGCCTGCTAAAAAACAGACCATCAGTAATACCCAAAGAAGATCGATTCTAGCTGAAACAGATTTTTCAGGAAAATAGTACATTAAAAAATAGATTCCGGCCTTTCCTTAGCAGCTTAAGTCAGTCGGTATTAACTCTTCCCACTGCAATCTAACTCATTCCTTTCTCATGGGGCGAACCTGAGCTTAGGGGCTGGTGTTTAAGGCACTAAGGAATCAATTAACATACAGAGCTCTGCTCTCAGCCTCCCCCTGCAAAGGCACCTAAACTGCTTAAATGCCCAGATGAGGTGCAGGAACACAAAGCTGTGGCTTTCCTTAACACCAGGCAGAACAGACAGATGTGGTACATGAGCCATACACTCAGCTGGGACTGCAACTGTTTAATCCTCAACAAATCACATGCTCATAAGCCAACCCCTGACAGCCCTCAGCACAGAAGTCTGAGACAGAGCCCTGAAGGTGCCCAGAATCTAAGCCTGGAAAACAGAATTGTACAATGGAAACTATCAGTGGGTATTTTATAGCTGTGTCACTGCTGTGCTACTATGACAAAACAGATTTCATTTTTTATGAAACATTAACTCATTACTTAGTATGTTGCAGTTGCTTTTTTTAAATCCACCTGCTAACATGAAACAGAATTTTGCAGCTCCATGGGCTTAGAACCTATGTGAGGTATCCTGAGGGCTAGTGTAGTTTTGGGTGGTGGTTTTCTGGGGGGTTGTGCAGTGATTTTTTTGTGTGTTTAGTTGTTGAGAGGGTTTTTTGGAGGTGGGAAGTGTTATGGGTTGTTGGCTATTTTGGAATTATTTTTTTCTGTCAAAGAACGCTTCATTTTCTCTAAGTAACAAACACATTATGGGGAAGGTTTCTTCCTCTCATCAGTCCAATGGTCCAAGACCACAGGCGTAATCTTGAAGATTGCAAGATGCTAGGTAAGGCAGCACACTGTTTTATGTGCTAGACTGCAGCTCCTATCTAACCTCTGTGTAACCCACAAGAAACGGTTTTAGGTGATATTGGGGCAGCTGCACAAGACAGCAATGGTTGAGTGCAGGGCAGAACAATCCCACCAAAGCACACCAGCAGGAACATGAGTTTCAGACTTATACCTTAGCATGGAACACAAGATGACACTTTTAGGGTCAGAGAGATAGAAATTAACCCAACTGTGAAACCATCTGAAAATTGAACTTCTGTTTGGGCTGTGAATTCTTTTTAAAAAGGGTTCAAGAGAATGAATCTATTTACAGACCTTCCAGAGTTTATACAGTCTAAGAGCTGAAATACAGAGAAGAGGTAACCAGTCTGGGGTTTATGTAAACAAAGTCAATTCAGAAGAAAAATATATTTACCAGTTTTAGATGCAGGTATTAATCTGGAATTCAGTCATCAGCAACGGTGTTTCTCTTCCCTGTTCTAACTCCAGGCCCTCAGACTGCCCATTGCAAGACTTTAATGTCCATGAGTGACCACAACTGTTTCTAAGCACAGGATGAGGCACATATTTACCTTATGCTGTAATTCTGCAGGAGCAAGAGCTCTTTTCTACTGAAGCCTGTGCTCTAGAAAGAGGAAACTGAAGTCCTTGACTTGGGGGGAAGGCACAACTTAAGGGAAATGCCAAATGCCTGAACTAGTCACAGCTCTTCTACAGCAACTTCAGCTGGGTAAACCTTCAAGAGCAGCACCAGAAAGCTGTTCATCCAAGTTCACACAATGATTCACAATCGGAGAGAACCATCTACATTCTGCACAAACTAAGAAATTTAGGTACAGTTTAGGAAAAGCCCCGTATTTGTAATGTTCCCCCTGGACAAAAGAAAGCAACAGAGCTCCTAACATCAGTTCAGTGTGTCATCCCCGGAAGCAGGCATACCTGAGCTGAGTTTTTGTCAACATAGATGTGGATTACTCCTCCATGTTTGTTACATTCCTCAATCACATCATCTTTAATTTCTGTGTCCCAGCCAGCTTCTTCTTCACTGTACAGGGGAAGGAAAAACAGGACAGAGATCATTCACACAAAATCCACCCCCAAAACCCATTAAACACATGCCTGCAACATTCTGATTTCTTTCTTACATGTTAAAGTCATTGACAAATGCCAAACAGACAACGATAAATCACTTACGTTTGAGGATTAAACATGTTGGAAAGCTGGAAGCACTGTGTTGCAAGTGGTTGTACAGAAGCAGCTGCAGCCAGAACTGTTGTAATGAAAAAAAAAAAAATTAGCACATCTAAGAACCCACTATGCATGGCTCTAATTTATTCAGCATAATAGAAGCAGCTCTGACTAAACAGAAACTGAAGGCAGGAAAGCAAAACTCAAAACCAGACACTACTGATGATAGATATATTTAAAATGATCAATACAAAAGCCAGCACACTATGAATCACAGTTGAACCTGAAAAGTGAAAATATCATCGTGTACATTGATTTTGGCAGATTTTCCATTTGAACATTAAAAGGCATGCATCTTCATTTGCATTTAAAATGTCTTCCTGAGTTGTATGTCAGCACCTTTAATGTTTTGCTCCTCACAGATGCCCAGCAGCAGCTCAGGACAGCACCACCCCAGCTGACTGGACAGCAAAGGACAGACAACCTTGGGGAATTCCTAAAACCTGTTTTAAGCACGTTGAATCATGCTTCAGAAGTGTACCTGCACTTTCATCCCTTGAAAATGCAGACTGAAGGAAACATTTGACACCTGAAATTGCTCTTTCCCTGTAACAGTGAAATTATTACTTGTCATTTATTGCTGCTTATCATGCCAGTACATTGCATTAAACACTGTCCCACAGGCTGCCCTTCCACAGACTTCAGACTTCTGTCAATGGAGCTGCAATAACAGCTGCCTTCCCCATATACTTCAGACATTAAGGGTTGTGCAGTCAGATAATGAGAAACTCTGAGACAGTAAACCCAAACTTCTGATTCTCAAATAACCCCTGAAAGGCAGGGAGAACACTACTAGCCAATCACAAATACCAGTCCACGCATTTTCTTGGACTAGTACATGGCTGGAGAATGCTACCAACACTGGAGAAAATGCTACCAAGAATTTTCAGTCAAAAAAATAACAGGATGATTCCCCACTTCCCCACAGACAACTAGACAACTAGGAGAACACAATTTCTCAGGTATGGGCAAACCCTATACCACAAGGATTTCCCCTATAGACACCTGAAATAAAATCTACTAATTACAAGTCAAAATAAATGCTAGTTTACCTTCATTCTGCTGGGACAGTCTCGTTTGTAAATCTAAAGAGAAATACAGAGAAGTTAATTAGAGCGCTTGCCAGCATCACTGTATCATCACCTGCCAGCCAGGTTGTTCAGCTTGTTTTTCTGTGGTTAAGAGCTTATTTCAGTATCACTGTTCCTCTCTAGTTGTGAGTAGTTTCACTAACTTCAGCTTCTGTACTAGAATGTTCTGTACTTGACAGATTCTGTGACAACAAAGCATTTTAAAGAGCAACAATACCTTAAAAGGACAGACATGACCATGTAACTTTAATTCAGTGTGTCACTCCCAACTTGCTTTTGCTGTGATTGTCTTCAAAAGACACGTTTTACTCCATGAGAAAATAATTACAGCAATTCTGACATGCATTAGAGGTGTGTGTCACCACCAACATCTTTACTACCAGAAAGCAGTTAAGCACACAGCTATCCAAACCTGACCTTCTTAAAGCAGTTATCAAATTTCATTTCAAGTAGAATAAGGCAATATTTTGTCTGCTTTGCTTTCATATAGATTGCATAATGATACAAGTAGCTTTGGTATTTTTCAAATTCAAAACATTTTCCAGTGTTCAGAACATGTGATTTGCCTAGAAAACATGATTTACTTGTTTAACATACACTTGTCCCAATCCAAAGTGATGGGAACAAACAAATGCAGACTTTCTAGCCATTTCCAAGTAACATGACATCTTTGAGCTAACATAAAACTTCAGAATTCAAGACTAAGTATAAGCCCCTTCAATCATGGTTCCATTTAAGAGACACTAGGGGTGTGAGCAAACAATTGCCTTAATTCACTCATTTAGAGAGTAGCAAAGTGATGAGCACCAAGTAAGCTTCCAAGCTTACCTGGAAATACCTGAAGGCACCAGGTATCAACATACTTTTCCCCTTTCTAATAAAACCTCCTCCACGACACTGAAGAACCAACAGAAATAAATGTTTTTCTCTAGATTTTCCTGATGTGCCTTTCCAAGCGTTTTGCAAGGAACACGTACCAGGAACCATACTGAAAAGCAAGGGCTGGAAGGAGTAAGCTCTGAAGGTTGTGTTGTAAAAAGAGCTGGTGATATTTGGCATGTTTTCCATCCAGATCTGAACCCACAGAGTCCTCACCTCCACAGAATGAGAAATATCACAACAGCAAAGGCTGTCTTAGCCTGTATTCTCTGAAGAAATGGCATGGTCTTGGCCAAATCTGTAACTAATTACCTAGTTAATTAATATTCAGACTCTTGTGAAAACAAAGGCCTTTTAAAGAAAACAGCAAATATCCGAACTCTCAATTTAGAGGAGAGACACTTTTCCTGCTGCAATTCCAATCCATCATGTCCAGCAGAACTCGTCTATGTGGGTCAGCCTGGGGCTCTACAGCCAAATCCCTGCACCTAATATGGTAAACCTGCACATATCATCACTGCAAATTCCATCCACAGCCAAGATCTGTTCTAAACACAGCAAAGTCAGCCACCATTATCTTGTGCAACAGTTTCACAGGTTAATTATTAACCACATTTGAAACATAACCTGCTGCTCACCAGATCTTTTATCAACAAACTGGATTCTTTTGTTGCTCATGCCTCAAGAACAGTCCTGTCCTCTCACTTCTAAAATCACTCAAAATTAAGAAATTGATTGTCACTCTGTATAGTCAATTCATGTTTCCCTACACATAGTTTTAAAGAGTATGAAGAAACTAAAATTAATACATCTGACCAATTCAGATCAAAGTAACTCTTTCAGTATATTCTTGTGTAACACCTGTAAGAGCAGCAAGTTTAGCACAATGGGAGTACATGTTTAGTGTACACAGAAAGCACAAATACAGACAAATCTATCAAAGTAATTTGTGTCTTAAAATAAAAAGTTTATTTTTAAATCCAGATGGCTTTAAATAAGCCAAAGTCTGCCAAACACTGCCTAGCATCTTGAGTCATTTCTTAGAACAGAGACCAAATAGAGGTCCAGGATGATAACAGCTATCTCTTCCTCTTTTACAGCACACCATATCAATTTTTTTCCATAAACAGATAGCTCCTTCCACAAGTAAGGAATGCTTTGTCCCACAAAACATTAGAAGCATATTCTATAGGCTGATTATTTTAAATTTCCTATGTTGAGAAAGAACAGGGAGTACACAGCGACAACTGTTCAGCTTCAAATTCTTTTTCCTGCTGGATGGCCAAATTCTCAGGTGTCCCCTAGAACTAATTCTTTACCTTCCCTACTTTAGTTTTATTGACTCCCTCTTGAACATGGATTATCAGAAGTATTTGCAGATGTATACATTACACCTCAGATGCTCAGGCCTACTTGCCTCTAGGAACACACCTAATATTTTAATGATATATCATGCTGCCAGGTCATGTTCTGGCTCTGATAAACTGAAGCATTTAGATATTTTTCTCCTCCCTGGCCATTCTTCCATTGCTAAGCTCCCAGACTATGCGACTGGAATTTTATTTAACCCTGAAGAGGTGAACAATATACAACACCCCAAGAATTTCTTGTCGACAGCACCTACGCATTTATTCACCTCATTTCTACTACTGACCATTTTCATTCATGTAAATATTACTCAAGACCAGACCAACACCTAAACTTTGGTTTTAACAATAGCCTCCAACTTTCCCAGCTTTCACCTGTAAAAAAGTCCTTTCTCTGAGCCAGCTTACTGACACACCTTGTACTTCCTGTATTACTCACTTCTCCAGTTTAATAACTTCCAAATGGCAGGAGTCTAAAGATCAGCAAGAAGCTGCTCCTCCTCTGCCAAGGAAAGGCAATTTAATCAATGACTGTTGGTCTTTAAATACAGTTTCTGACAGTATGCTATACTTTCATAATATTCTCCAGTTTACTCATCTTTAGTATAACCTCTGAAGGAGCAAAGTCTACTCAGTAACGGGACCAGAATCTGGCCAGACCACATTCTTCTTCCTTCAAGTGTACTTCAAGTCTAATTTAGTCACATGTTTCAGCTATGTACACATCGTGGACTTAAAATGTTTATCAACAATACCAGAGATGAGACCACATGTTTTATACATGTATTCCATCACTCATTTCATGGGACTTTTACTTTTCTGACCTCTTTACATTAGCCTCTTACTTTTAGCTTTCTTTCTACCTTGGGAATAATTTTCCTTTTTTATTTTTGAACTACATATTCCTAGCTTACCTTCCTCAAATTCTAAACTTTATGACCAGTATCCCCACTGCAAGTTGAGGCAACTAAATACATACAAACATTTTGGGAGTAGTTTTTCATTCACCTGAGTCCCACTTCCTTTTTTCTTCAAGAGTTGGTAAACCTTCATCTATTGCTTTCATGACTTTAACAATGGTCTAACTCAATCGGATTGTTGGCAGACAATTATCTTTTTGTCTGTTTCCCCCCAAACTAAAAATCTTGTTTTATTATCAGTCATTTTTCCTATTCTTCATAGGCTGTGTGGTCATTCCTTATTTCTTTTGAGGTAGCTGATCACCCAGGTTCAGCGTGGAGCCCATACTAACAGAACTTTTTCTTCTTTCTGTAGAATACAGATCCAACACAGCATTAGCAATGTAAAACATCCTGCCTGTTCAAACACCCAAGTTGCTCAGACCAGATGACTTAATTGCCTTGTTTCTTCAACCATCAGCTAGACCTGTTGGTGTATCCTTTCATTTAAATGTGAGCAACTCATGATCCCTCAAGTCAATGGTCATTTCTATTCTCATCCGTAACATCTTCATTACTTACCAAATTGAGCTTAAAATAGCATCCCCTCTTCATGAGTCAGTGAGTGTTTGATGAAGAAATTTGTCGGATATCACATCCAGGAATATCTGGGCCCCACCATTATTACTAGCAATTCTTCTCCAATCTGTATCGGGGAAGTTAAAGTCTCCCACAATGACATAATTCCTGGTAGTAATTTTCTCTAACAAGAGTAAAGAGATCTTTAATCCATAACCAAATCTCACTTTGGGGACAGCTCATTGACTCTACGGCAGCAAAAAGCTTTATCTTTTTCCAAAGTTACTTAAGTTGCATATGTCTGCATTATTGCTTTTGTACAATACAAGTGGAAAGAACAATGCTACCCCTACCACCTTTATTTCCACAGTTGCTAACATGCATCTTTTTCTAACATCTGTATTCAGCCTCATGTATTTCTCTGCAGAGAATCATGTTTTCTCATGCTGATTGCATACTACCTGAACCATTCAGCTGTGTCAGACATTTATGGCGATGTTCTTGATTTAGTGAGTTTGGATTTCTTTAGACCTTGTTTGTTTCAAATCCGGGGGAGGAAAAGGACTGGTGTTTTTTTTAAAACACAATTCTCATTTCTAATTGCTGACATGTTTCTACATGAGACTGCCACACCACTTTATAACCTGCATAAATTATGAACTAACTTCAGCAGTGGTTAGCTTTCCTTCTCTTTCTGGACTAGACACACTTTTTCCTAACTACTGTATGTTTTTCATCCTTCTCAAACAGGCAACCAGCATTTTTCTGTCACTGGCCAGTTCATTTTCCTTCCAAGGGCACATCTCTAAAACAACTCTATTATATTCTTTTAGCAACTGTCTACGGCTTCATATGTATGCTCTTCTTAAGACTGCACCTGACCTTCAGTAACACGATTCAGACCTATCTTATTAAGCCTGAATCATTTCCATCACATGCTCTGCTGGAAGGCAAACAAGAACGCTACCTTTTCTTTGCTACTTTCTGACACATCCCACACATTCCAGCATCTGGTTATTTGTGACATTCAGGTCCTTTCTACTGTTATGACAGTTTCATATCCCTTGTTCATAGTATTAATCAAAAGTAGCAAAAAAAAAAATAACATTCAGGGAGGGTACTCCCTGCTCTAGTTCTGAAGACCCCATGAAGTGTTAGTTTTTCAGACCAGCTATGAACTAAGCAGCAGCAATCACATCCCTCAGCCTCATTCCAGCACACCCACCTGCAGAACACACGTACAACTATTGCCAAATCCAAGCAATAGACACATTCCCTGACATAAAATGTCTTTCCTCACGAGGACATACGCTGTAAAAACGCTGCTGCCATCTTTATGATGTGTCCCCCATAGAGTCCTAATAACCTTCCTGCCCTTCGTACAGCTCTGATTTTTCTACAGGGGTCAATCCCCTTCCAATTCTGAGCCTGCCATTTTCAACAGTCAACACGTATGCTGCAGTAGAACATACAAATCCCCACTAGCCCAGAGAATAGTGAAGAGAGGAAGGTTTGGGGTGAAAACCAGCAAATTTGGAAAAATATGCAAAGTGAATCACACCCATTCAAATTGTGATATACCATTATTAGTTACTTGCTTATGATTTTGCAGTGTTTTACAGTGCGTAAAACATGCTGCAATACCTCATTTTAAAAGACCAAAATGCATTTTCATTTTAAAAGACAAAAAAACATAGTTAAGTACCGCCTGTCTCAAATTTATAAAGTAATTTTAAAAAATATATATAGGTCATCATTTCTTACCTGTCACAGCTCCAAAGGCCAAAGATCCACTCATCTGCAGAGCCTGCTGTGCAGCTGGAGGAATCTGCAAACCAGTACCTGGAACAGAACACAGAGAGACCTTGGAGCAAGCCCTTTCATTAATTTAGGAATGCAGTAACAGAAGCATCATAAATATTCCTCTTGTCATAAGATAAAAAATACCATGCATTTAAATATTTCATTCATTTATTCAAACAGTTCTGTGGAGTGTTTTAATTCAAATTCTGCAAACTTCTTCACACACTTGTTATCCAACGTTGCACACACCTTCTGCAAGTCTTGCCATCAACTGAAGCCGACCAGTTGTTCCCAAATCAATTCCAGTCCGTTCCAACTCATCACTGTCCAAAAACGAGCTAGCACTGGAAGCATCAGTACGCTCAGTTACATGTCCAACTTTCATTGGTCTCCCAGCCAGCTCAAATCCATTGAGTTGTTCCAGGGCTTTTTTGGCACACTCAGAGTCTGAGAACTGTGGTTTGGAGAAACACAAATTCAGTAATGCTTGCCTACAGGATTCAGCAACACTTCTACTGTATGTAATATCCACAATTACACAAACAGGAGAAACTCTTTAAGAGAATAGCAATAAGCTAATGTACATGTGCTCAGAATTTTTCATTTAAACAAAACACACACATATTTTGGTATTTACTTTCTCATGGTTAGGTACTATATATTTAAAAATATTGTTGAAGTTATAGCATCGAGATACTGCAATCAACAGAAGTCATGACTGTGGCTGCCTTTCAAGAGTGACACTCAATTCTTCTGCAACCTTACAACTGCCATGGTATTTACAGTTTATTCCTAACAGATACTCTGCTTCATGCTGCAAAACATCAAAATAAACACACAAGCATTTTATCAGTGTTAAAACTGTCAAGTATGAACTATATAGTAAGTTTGGTTTCATTTGTGTCCATGTGCCAGAGGTCCCAGCCGAGACTTTTTTCCTCATGACAAATTGCCAGGTCAGTTAAGAAACTCAAGTTCACAAAACTGTACCTGAGGGTAAAGAGGAAAGATTTTTTAACTGAAAAATTTTTAGCCCCTATTATTTCCCCTATAAAGTTCACATTAAATTATTTTCAGCTATAAAACCACCAGTCTTTACTAGTGTCTTTGCCTGCAGAAGACAGCATTTGCTTTTGCTGGCACTGACTACAGAGGAAACTATTCCCATCTAAACATATTCACTGCTCATTCTCAATACCCAGACAACCATCAGAAAGAAAGAAAAAGCCAGTGCTGCATCCTGCAACATGACACTTCTGAAATGAAATGTACAGTTATCGAGTAGCAATTTAGTACCTCCCATGCATATGTAACAAATTTAGATTGTGCTTAGTTTATTATGTTTAGATTGCTACTATATAACCACATAAATATACACAGGAAGGTTGACATATAGAGAAATATACTCCTGCATGGGAAGGTTACACTCAGAAATCATCTTAGAAACCTGGCAATTCTAGTCATACCGTAATGAATCCATATCCTTTTGAGCGTCCAGTTTCACTGTCCATCATGAGCTGAATACTTTCAATCTGCAGATAAGAATAAAGCTATTTACTAACAGACATTTTGGAACAAACTCCAAGATACCAGAACACAACATGAAAACAGCCCTGTCAAATTGTCAAACACACAGACATGAATGTGAAACTATTACTTTTTTTAAATTAGTTTCTCATTCCTTCCTCATTTCAAAATTAGTATACAGACAGCTAAATAGGTACTTGGATAGTAAGAGAAGCAAGTAAACATAAGGGTTTTGAGCTCATCTATGGGTAGAGGCTTGATGCAGAATTCTAACAGCATAAGCACACAGAGATGATCAGATCGTAACTGAAACACACTCATCATGGCACTTCATATGCTGAGAAACTCTGTTTTACAAACTAAGAAAAGCAGTATGCCTGACAAGTGCTTTGTGAGTATGAAGCTGAATTATTTCCAGAAGCTGCTAAGGCTCTACAACTAAGCTAGGTTTTTCAAATAAACTACTCTAACACAACATGCCAAACTAAAGTTTACCCTGCCAAATGGCTCGAAGATTCCTCGAAGCATATCTTCAGTTATATTGAAGTGTAATGATCCCACATAGAGCCTCATAGGACCAGCACTGCCCTTCTGCAGATTGTTTGCCATTGCTGCTGCTCTGTTTTTCTCTGCCTACGGAGAAAATAAAAATTCACCTTCAATAAGAAATCAATAAAAAACCCCTAAAATAAGAAGTAAATACCTATCAGATCTAAACTAGAAGATTCACCAAACATACAGAAGCTGTTGCATGATCTGCAGTCTATCAGACTTGAACTTAAGAGCTACAAAACCCAAGATCATGACCAAGTACAGAGACAAGAGACTCCAAAAGCCTTCAAATTGAACAGCTTCATGCAAAATTCTGACTTCTACCTAGGAAATTATCTAGAAGGCATACACAATATAGCCTTCACTTCTGTAACACTATTAACAATTTCTTTACTGTTATTTGCTTAAGATCAGCATTTTCCTAATACCTTTACACAACTTTCAATCACTTTAATTTGCCTGTTATCTACTGGCAACAAAAATCCATTTTACTAGCTTAAATAATCATCCTTGTTACGGTTTTCCAAACATTCAGTAGTAGCCAAATTTTCACACCAAGTTTCTCATCAAAATACAAGAAGCATAACTCTGCATGAACAAAAATGAGGTTTACAATTCCTTACCTGTGATGCCTGTACTATGATAGGTACACCCAGGACTCTCTGTCCAGTCAGTCCTATTGCCAGGGGCACTGAACTAACATCAACAAATTCAACATAAGCAATCCCCTTTGAACGTCTGGAATTTCTATCTGAAATCATTCGCACATCACGAACCTGAAAGGCAACAGAGATGGAAATACTTTTAGAGAAAGATGAAAAAACCTAATGCACCCTATTTCTCAGACACATATTAATACTGAGAATTATTTGCCAAGCCAACAGCTTTAACTCTACAGCAGCATACACTTTTTGTAACAAACATATCCCAGAACCAAGCTAGCACTAAAGCTGTTTTGTTTTGTATGTGACAGAGCTTGCAGCACTCTAATGCTTTACACCAGAACCTTACAGCTGATAGAACAAATGAAGTTTTTTCAACTTAGAAGTTACATGAATTTTCAAATGACACTATAACTGACTGACCTATCTAAAAAAAGAAGAAAATATGAAAAATGAAGTTGAGTCAGAATTGCATCAACATGTTTTGCCTCACATCACATCAACAAGCAACTACTGAAAAACTACATTTTTGTGTTCAAAGCTTTTAATAATTAGTTCATCATTAATCCCTCTTTGCACAGGCACAGGAAGCTCCAGAAAGCCACATGCTTACAATTCTGAAAAAATACTGAACCTGTACTAAGTTGTACTAGGACAGCTTGTGGCAAAATTCAAAATTTTTTTAATTTCCCTATCAATTACCTTCCCTACTGTAGAGAAAAATTCCTCCAGGTCTCTTGGTCGAATTCTTGCAGCCAACTGCATGCAGAACACTGTTCGAGCATCTCTCTCTTCAGGGGTAAGATTATCAATAGGTTCTCTGGAAAGAGTAAAGTTCAGCTAAAAAATCAACTGAATTGAGATAATTCATCTTTGAACCACACATGATACACTAAACAATCAGTACTTCATAGTCTGATAGGAAAAAAAAGCCTGCTGTATTAAAAAAAAGGCAGAGTAAAGAACTGAAGGGAATGCCAAATATTAACATGGCAAGTTGAAACATGACTGAATATCCTATTTCACCTGTGAGCACCAAATATAACTGGAAAATTCTATTTTATATGCAAAAGCATAAACTGAGGTACCATTTTGCTACTGTCCAGAAGTGGTACCAGATACCACTATGGAGCTTACATGTCCTTTTCATCAAAAAGATGGAAGAACAAGAATATAAAAGCGAACAGGGCAAACTAGCACAGACTGGCTCTCCAAATTCTCAGAGAAGTAGTGTGGGCTAGGCTTTACTAACTCACATCTTGCATTTACCCAGTCACTTTGGAGTCACTACAGCCACCGCATAAAACCAGACTGACATCCATGTAAATAGAACTCGCAGTCCTCATTCCACAGTTTCAGCTTGTTAACCCATAAAGAAGTATGAATAGTATTGAATTACTGGAATGAACAGTAGAATTACTTTGATCCTTGACACATGAAGAACTACAATAATTTTATTTATTAGCTGAAATTAGATGCACCAGTGTTAACATATTGAAGCTTCAAATCTAAACAAATCTGACTTGTACTCAAGTACAAAGTACATAAGAAGTAGCATGGTGTATCCTGGATTGAGCATCTATCAATGTAGTATGTATTTTTATTAAATTAACCACATAGATACTAATCACTTAGAAAACACAATAAAAATTTAAACATCATTATCTTAGTAAGAGTTTGCCAGTCATTGAAAAACAAAATGAGATTGGTGAAATTTGACTGCATTAACATAAGAGAAAAATCTCATTAGCAGCTATCTAAATCCTATTCCCTTAAATGAGAAGACTAAGAATGAATAAGCAGCTTCTGGACTGCAGAGGCACACAGCCTCTCAACAAATAACACTAATAAATACTGGACAGCAAAAAGAAGCATTTGTACCATTTCATACTCTAGATTATTAACTATGATTTAGCAGAAAAACTAATTTAAATCACAATTAATGGGGAGAAGATTGAAAATACAGAAACACAAACTAATCAAGACTTGTTTGCAAACTGACATTATTTACAACCTTTTATGACATGGGGAGAAAGCAACATACTACCAATATTCTTTTCTCACTAGCTTTCTCAATGAATTCCAGCATCACTTATGAGTGCTGGAGAGCAAGTAGTCATTTATATTTCATCATCACTTTTCCAACTCCAAATAGACAAAAACAAACAAACCCAAACAGGTAAAAAGTCATACCTAACAGGGCTTTTGTCTTTTCTGAAAGGACTTTTGCTTCTAGAGCGGCGTCTGCTAAAAAGAAAGATCAACAAGATTAGAAGAAAACTTTCCAATATACCACTCCTGGTTCTAAACAAAACCTATTAATGATGCAATGAAAGACAGAAAAAAGTCAAAAACCTTAATTTGATGCTGTGAGGCAGACCAATCTTCCCTCTGATGGCACTGTTGAATTTTGGACCAGAACTATGGCAGAAGAAAAGACAAAAGACCTGAGTATTTGAATTCAAAATTTCCTGTCTGTACTCACATTACACTCCAAGTGCTCCCCCACCCTTGCCTCTGAACTTGTCAGCATTTCCATTAGCAGCACTCACAGCATGCATCAGATAATCAGTTGGTTACCAATACATGCAGCACTTCAGACCATACGGCACAGAATATGATCCTCCCCCACTTTCATCTACACCACAAAATCCCAGAATATGCAGGACTCTTCATGAGACAGTCAGCCATAGCACATTTGTATATGCAAACTATTCTGAGCTACAGTTACTGTTATAACCATTTTCACCTGTCTTTTTGTCCACATGCAAGTTCTACATACTGACGACTGCAAAGCATAACATTCATGGCCTGGAACTCTGCTTCAGAGCTGTATGCCAAGTGGTACTGGCAGGATTACTTGCTCAAGTGTAATATTTTAAAATCAAAAAGTTCCAAGAAATTTAAGGTGCAAGAGCAAACCAAAAGTGGCTCCATGCAGGCACCTGCAAGGGACATGTTCACTAATGGTGTCTCGGCTCTAACCAATGAAGTGCTGCAAATATATAAATGAAGCTTCCTTAAAATTCCTAATGGCCATCAAACCACAAAAACAGTGAACCCAGCAGTCAGCTGCATACAGACATGTAACCACAAAAGGAATCCAGCCTCTTGACTCAATCTAATTTAATTCCCCAGGCTTCACACAGAGTCTCTTAGAACAAACTGTAACCTGCCCTTTGCTTCCACGTTCAGGACAGTCCTCTTGCTAGTTAATGGGGCACCCAGGAAGAGACTGTGACAAGAGCAGTAAGATATATCCTATTGTGCTCTCCCTGAATTTGATCTCCTGGTAGAGAGTTGTTCAAAAGGCAAAGAACAACACCTGTTAACATTCTTCCTGTATCTCCACCAAACGCAGAGGCACTCTGCACAGACTGAACACTGTGCACTGGGCTTTGGCTTTCCATCTGTACACAATTGATTCTTTCTGCTGTTGCTACAAATTGATGTAAAACACCCTGAAAGACACGGCAGGCTGAAGACATTAAGTAGTCTTTCACTAAATCCATTTGGCCACGCAATTTGTCTGAAAAACGTCTTCTTGCTCCTCAGTGGAGCAGTAATGCTTATAGTTAAACTCAGCATCCGCCACAAGGAGGAGGATGCCCATTTTTTTAAGCATGTCATGACACAGGTGGAAGCAGTGGGCCAAGATCCAAAACCGTGCTGGCCAGGTTAAAGCAAGGGAAATATGGCCCTGTACAACACTGGAAAAAAAATAAAGAAAAAAGACCATTTAGAAACTACTCATGAAGAGAAGATAACTACTGAGAGAAAATAAGACATAAAACACAGACACATGTGGAGATGAGATCACATTTGATCAAAACCAGAATTTTTTTTTTTTTGCCTAGGAGAAATTGCTCCCTTTCCTGCTCAAGTCCAGACAAATTATTGCCAGGAGTGTCCATTCAGGTTCTTCAGTATCTATGGAACAACTGTCAAAAGCTGCATCTGGAAATACTGGTACTAATTTCAGAGGCTACCTTCTTATCAGACATGGGACTACCTTGCATTTTCACATCAGATGTAAAACATGGTGCTCTCTATTTTAATTCAAATGCAGACAGACAAACCAATTACAGTGACTCCAGAACACTAACATGTGGACCCAACTAAACAATAATAAATAGTTAAGAGCACAAGTTTTCAAGGAAAAGGTGAAAGAAATATTTTAAGTACTCATCTAAATCTAATGAATAACAAAACCAAAACACAAACAACTGAGAAGTAACAGTTTTCAAATGCATGCACAAGGCAGGGGTGGGGGTGGAGGGAGGAGGAAAAAGCAGCAGCGAAAACTCACAATCCATCACAACTCCAAAAATCTCCATTTTTCTTTCTTGACTAGTACTATCTTATTTACAGAACTCCATGACACCAACATTAAGAAACCCCAGACCACTGGAACACACCAAGCAGAAAACTGCCTAGGGCAAGGTGAGAGCCCAAATTACCTTCTCAAAATCAACAGCATACCCTTTTCAACAGTATTCTCCCTGTGCTTTTCTAAGGAGACTTGCTTGTAAAGCTGTAGATCTCAAGTAAAGTTTCTGCATTGCTTCTACTGTCTCTACAACTGTTGCCCAGTTCCTGCTAACCTGTACGGAAACACCGTGTCACAAGCCATTAATCTCTATGTCTAGGAGTCACCTTCTTTGTAAGCCAAAGTCCCGTGTGCTGCCAAAGCACACACTTCCACAAAGCCTAAGAGATGCCACAGGGCCCAATAATGTCAGGTCAGAAGACAGCTAGCAAATTATCAGCTGTTACCTACTCACTCATATTCAAGATTCCAACAAAAAAATGTTGGACAAGGCAAACTCTGGCTAACAGAGTCCAGGAGAATCACAAGGAACTTTCAATCATCATTGTAATAAACCTGTTTTCCTAACAGCTTTGTCTAAATTTGTAATTTCAAAATAGAAACAGGATGGTCTAAGTGACTGCTACTTTATGTTAGCAGCAGCTGGGATTTGCCCAGCAGATGTCTAAGCAAGACTACTCAGTCAAGTTCTTTCTCCTAAGAGACCTTATGATACAGCTATGTAACACTTAAGGGACAACATACGTGAAAATAACATGAGATAAAAACCCCTGTGAACACTAAGCAATGCAATAGTCACCTAATTTTAACCTAATTTAAAATTAAAGCATTTAACCACATTTCAAGCCTAAAGTGAGAAACTCAAAGTTTTCAGGTTGCCTGTAGCACTCTCCTCTCCTTTTCCTTCACAATTATCTATACTAAACTTTTTTCCTCACTACTGCTGAGATGCCTCCTAACTACTCCCAGCAATAAAACCATCTTGGTTTACAGAAAATCAGCTCAAAATGAGCCTTTATAAAGCTCATGAGGAAGACCACAAGGAGGAGGAAGAGTAAAAAGTAAGATAAAATAGAAGCCATTAAGCAATTTGATCTAGATACTGCAGTTAGCCACAACCCTGTCAGCACTAACTCCAAGCCAAAACTACCAGAACAGCCTCACAAGAAGAGATTCCAGAAATAAATTCTCCAGCCAGAAAGAGTACTCTGGCAGTCACTTTTGAAACACTGAACTTATGCCACTGATACAGAGACAACTTCTTCAAATGAAAGCTCAGTATTGGTAGATCCAAAGGTGGCTGGTGATGCAGGAGGGCTTTATCACCAAAGTTTTCATCTCTCTGAAATTCAACATCTGTTACATAGATTCAAAAGTGAGTCCCTGCATTTTAAGAGCCCTGAACAGGAACTCTTCACAATCCCTTCTCTTTCACACATTTAGAGCCAAAACTAGAACTCTGGAATCACATTAGCATGTTTATCATTTTAACAGGACTGTTCATCCTCTACAACTAAATGACAGCAACTGCTTGCTGACTGCCATCAGTCAACACCAAACCTTCTGGGACACATGTGCTTGCCCCATACCAGTTTTCCACAAAACCATCTCAACACACTAGAATTCTACTTGGTTAAGTGAAAGCAATGATTTGGCAACTGAAGCAGTGAACAAACTATCAAATTAACAGCACAACTATGTACCCTCAGAGCATAGTACATTATCCCTGCTTCTTGCTCCCTGTATCTCAACACCAGAGCAATCACCCAAAACAGCTACGAGAGAGTGTCAGGATAGCAAAAAAGACCCCTTGCAACTACTTACCTTTCTGGCATAACATATCTCAGAGCATTAAAACAGGCATGGGTTATTGCAGAACAATACTTTCAACCTCTACTTGCAGAAATTATTTTGGAAGACCAGAACACTGGAACTCCCAAATTTCTCCAGGTGAAAAACCTTCTCACCCAGTGACAACAAGAAAAACAAAGAATAAAAACCTCCAACACAGCTGGAAGAACGCAGCAACTCCCAAGAGCTCCCAAGCAACCACAAGATGAAACAAAGGACATCCTCTCCACACAACACTGCACTGGAGGGAAGGATGCCAGCAGGCTCCATATACAGAAGGCTGAAGTTTTTTATCAAGGTCCTCTGTACCTTGAGCCACAACAGTGGCACTGGCATAACCTAACCAGCTACTGTCATCTTACACGTGCAACAGAGTTGTGGGAAAACTACTCTGCACTGCTGAAATCTTTACAGCTGAAGTCCAGAGCCGTGTACAGAGGCTCTGATACTCAAGACAAAGGAAAAGCAGGGCTGATACATTATGATCCCCACATACACAGGACTAATGATACACAGGACGCCGTTGCACCTTAGAGGACCCAGGAACTGCAGCAGGTTTTCATGACAAAAATGCCAACATCCAGATGACTTGGCATGGAGTGAGACCCTGAGACTTCAGGAAGTTTTTGTTTGTAGTCCAAGAGTACAAAAAGCCCGAAGAAAAACATTCATGTCCATAAAACTGGACAAGCCTACAATTTATCAGAAGGTAAACACTGTCTGCTCAAACATCTTGAAGAGATTTCTCTATCATGGATGGCATTATATGTCATGATTAAAAAAATACACTCTTTTCAAATGCCTTCTTTTAACATCATCTTTCATTCCAAAATTTGACAACAATTGAGATGAGACCTGCACAACAACAGAGACAAACAGCAGCCTCAGGTAATCAATGACAGTCAAGCATACAGCCCAGTTCTCACTGAGTTTCTGCAGAAAAGAGGCAATGGGAAGCATAGGGGAGAGCCACAGCACAAACCATCAGAAACAATACTGATGAAAAAACATCTTTTGAGAATTGATTTACAAATGTCTGGAACCACCTACCACTGAAGTTCTATCAAGCTAAATATCTGAGAGGAATTGTCAGCCTCTAAACAAGTCTGAGAAAAAAGCAGGGCAAATCTGCAACACAAGGGCATTACTAAGACAAGATGCTCCCAGTTTGGATGCATAAACATGGAATATGTTTGAGTGAATATCCATTTATGGAGTTAATGTTCAAGAACAGCAAGACAGTAAAAATCTTTAGTAATACCCAAAAAAAAGGATACGAGCCTGGAACCAAATAAACATACTACTATTAATTTTTTGGCAGTTAAGCCATCAAGTTCATATACTTTAAATAGTTAGGGCATGGAGAGAATTTGGTTGTTATACTGATTTTGTGATAAACTTAGTTTTCCACTCAGCTGTACACATTCTTTCATTTGCTTTCCCATCTCTGTCTTGGCTAAGAATGAAAACTAGAAGAGGAATATTACTATCCTCATTTTCACTCTGTATTTACTGACATTTTTTAAACTTCACCTCTCACTTTCTTTTCAATTATAATTATTGACCAATTTAGAAAGCAGAGAGTGAAACTTCAACCTTCCATACTGTAACAGTGAAGCAGCACACACGCAACTCTGAACAAATAACCTACTAGGGACTTCTGTAGCGGCCTCTGAATCTGCGGTCTCTGCTCCTAGACCGGCTGCGTCTGCGTTCTTTGCTTCTGCTCCGTTTCCTTTCCCGGCTTCTGCTCTTTTTCCGTTCCCGATCTCGGCTCCGTTTGCGTTCCTTACTTCTGCTCCTCTTTCTGTCATGGCTTCGACTTCGACTCTTGCTCTTTTTTCTCCTGACAAAGAAAAGTGCAACTTCAGATACACATACAGTTCAGTGTTATTTACCCCACATTCCCTCTGTTACACACACTGATGGGAAAAGCTTGTACCTGACGGTATTTGTACTTTTTATTGTAAATGGGTGACTAAGCATGTCAGCAATCTCCTTTCATGAGCCACATGAAATCGGCAACAGCACATTTTTCTCTTAAATTTTTTAACTGCTAGAGAATGCTTTCAGAGGAGTAAAAGGACTAAAAACCCATTTCCTATGTTAGACCTAGTACACAGCAGTTGCAGTACTTCATCTGGTGTTTAAACATACTTTGTGATTTTAAGAATAAATTACATAGCAAAGTAAAACAAAATGCAACAAAAACAGAAAGAAAGAGGCAGCTCTGGGTTTGTTTCCTCTTAATACTCCCTGCCAATTGTTTTTTACATGCTGCTTAAGAGTTTTGCTTCCTACTTGCTACTCCCACTCATATTATTTAGAACACAAGTAAAAGCATGTAATCTGTATGATTTCAGAAGGTGACAGCAGCATACATGCTGACTTCAGTGCATTTCTGTAATACACAGCTAACTTTTCACTGTTTTGTCAACTATCAGCTTTGTAATTTTTCTCTTTACATCAATAACCTCTTCACCAAATTATGCTTATAAGGTAAGGAATTTATTTTACAGACTACACACCTTTTGGGTATCACATCCAGGTGTTCACATCCTGGAATTACGCTTGCTGAGCAAGGTGTGCTTGTACTCTTGTTTTTTAAAAAACTTGTATTATAAATTTAGACATCTTCAAAGGGCAGGGACGCAGAGAACAGAGCAAGACGATTTAACACCCTAAACCTTTTCAAGAAATCACTGGTGTCTTTAACAGCTTTCCACTGCTCCAAACCACAATTCTACAACAAATAAGTTTTAAAATGCAAAATCCATTGCATAGGTAAATTAACAAAACTAATTTAAATATGCTGAACATACTAAGTCTGCATTTTTATCTGATGCTAGGTGAATGTTTCTGCAATTTAGATTACATCAGTTGCAAAGGGTATTAACTACATTTGTAAACAAAATAAAATTTCCAAATTGCTGCAACTGCAAATTCCAAGCTTTTCCAAACTACTTCCTTAAACACCACTGACACGGATTCACAAGTCCACAAAAACCAGCAGCCTCTACCCAAATGCAGAGAACTGAGAAAATACTTACTTCTTGCTGCGTTCTTCATGGCCATTGGCACTGCTCAATTTGTTCTCATCCTAAGCAGGGTTGATAGAAGAACATCGTGAGGACGAAGTGGAAATATTTCAAGTGGTCAAAGGGTAATGGGAATAGGAATAAGAAAATAAAAAACAAAAATTTTAATACTAAATTACTTGTTTACAGTTTAATGTGGAAAGCTTTAGAAAATTTAGGTAGGCATGTTTAACCACTTTGCTGCTTAAATTTAAGTCATACAATTACAAAATACAAGACTTACATCATTTAAAAGTGTGTATTAAATTGTAGATACTTCCATACATGGTTTAGAGAGCAAGTTATCCTGTAGAATTCAGCACTCAAGTGACTAAATGTTATTTCTATAAAATTTAAGAGGAAGTCTGAGGTGTTTGCAAGCCCCTCTGATTAGTACCAAGGCTATATCTCTGCCTAAGCCCCGTGGCTACACTAGCAGCCAGCCACTATGGATTTCCTGTGACCGATGCCATTCCCGAGATCTTCACTCATTTTCGTTGAAGGGTTGTAAGAGCTTGATGTCACCTCTGTCACACATCTCGCCCTGAAGCAAACAGGGATTCACACTGCTTTAGTAACGTCGACTCCCAAGAAAGCCATCAATAATCCACCAGTGCAGCCTAAACATCCCCTATTTCCATACCTGTTTACATGGAAAATATCCATGTTAAGCCAGGACACAAGAATTTTAACACAACAGTTCACAAATTTCTCTTCAAGATGTAAACATAACTGCTAAATATTACATTAACTAAATATACCACTTAAAACTTACAAATGCTCATCCAAAAATTCATGACATGGTTGTAATAAACACTGCAGAACAGACTGACAACAGCTGCTATATAACTTATATACTGGCTTTACAGTTTAATCACATTGGTTACATCAAAAGTACAATTCCTAGGCGATTTAAACTTATATACATTTCTTCCAAAATCAGTAGCTAAAGCATGCAGTCTGTTAACACCTCACCACCATCTGGTGGAAAACAAAAAAGACAGTATTCATTTGCTGCTGGTTTAAGTGAAGGACATCACTAAGCTAATTGATAAAAATTTTACAGAAAAATTGACATTTCCTAATTAAACAACTAGGACAGAAGAACACAAGAGCTTCTTTTAGAATGATACCGCAGACTGTGATACTGTCTTTTACTTGCTAAGAACATTCTATTCAGGGATCCAAGAATTTCTGTAAATTCATTCACTCAGCAATTGATTTTCATCTGCCCTGTTGAAAGATTACCCGCCAGCAGCCTTCTGCATTAAAAGCAAGTCCCACTCTTCTCGCACTGAGCAGATTGTTCAAATATTTACTTGCCATGGGACTGGTGAAAAGGTTATTCTTGGAGCCCCGCTGTTTTCCCAAACCACTGCATTCACCTTGTTGCTATACCAAACTAGAATTCACAATTTTAGAGGAAAGGTTTTAGGATTTTGGTTTCTGGGGTTTGTTTCATTTTGGTTTTGTTTAGTTGGTTTTTGGGTGGATTTCTTTTGTTTTGTTTTGATTGTGTTTGGTGGCTTTTTTTTTTTTTTTTTAAACCTAGGGGACCACGGTACAGCGATACGTCACTCAATTACTACCTTATGATTGACAGTTCACACTGGAATCAAAGGTGAATTCATGGGAGTAGAGGTGAGATATCGTTAGGCAAGTCTACAAAGAGAGATAGATGGGCATTTATTCATCACGCTGAAGTGAAACTACTGCACAATATAATTACATTAACAGAATATATTAACTTGAAAGTTACATGTAATGTATGTCCAATAAGATAAATCATGAGGGCTCCAGGGATGTTAGTTTACAGTTCAGCAGTAGTTTCATGAATAATGCTAAATTAAGGTAAACGGGACCTCACTGGCATATTTTTTCTCACCTTCTTGTAAGGAGCTTCAAGCATTGCTTCAATATCAATATCATCAGCCATTTTTCAGGACACCTGAAAGAAGAAACAACTTTCACCTGAGTTGGAAAACACCCTTGTGCTTTATATTCCAAAAGCTTTTGTTTAAAAGGTCATCACTGCATTGGCTCGAATTCACTAAATATTTAAAAATTCAGTAGGTATTTCCAACAAAAACTGGAATGAAGTTTTGCCCAATGAGATAGTAACAAATGTGTCCAAAATAATTACAGCTGCAAACAACAAAATGTGACTGAACACTATTAGCCAGAGGAAATCCAGAGGCATTCCATTAATTTCTTTCAAAACAAAGAGCACAGCTTATTTATGACACAAACACAGCTCTGGTGGCCATCTTGAGAAGTGCTAGAGCTTCAGCAAGGGACAATGAACAATCAGGCAAACCTGTTCACAGCTCCTAGCCTTTGCCACCATCATTTACCAATCTCAGCATGGGGACACCATGGTGCTTTAAGAAATGCAGCTTAATCCATTACAGGGATCACAGGAAAACAGTTATGATTCCAGCACTAGGAGCTACTAAAGCATACAAAAAGTCCATCCACTCTGGAATTTCACATCCCAAAACGAAAACATCCATCACACCAACGAAAACATCCATCACACCAGGTAACACTTGACACCACAGACATTTTGGGTTTAGCTGCTCCTCTTATTTCTAATTTCAACCCCTTAATATAATTTTATGTTCACTATACTCTGAATCACTTTGACACTTAGACTCTTGGTTTCCAGCAGTCTAAAGTGGATTAGGTTATGGGGTGGACAGGAGGGTGAAGTTGTTGTGTTCCTTCACCAGAAATTGTTCTGACGCGACGATTAAATAGGGCCTGTGGTCTGATCTTCGTCCTTTTGGCTGAGGGCTCGATGTGGTTCGATCAGATTAACAATGCCCGCCTTCGGCCGTGCTCTTCTGCCAGAAACTACACCTCCCTTCATGGCCTAGCGGTGTCTTGCAGATTTTTTTAGCCACTTCAATTCCGAGTAAAACAATCTGTCAATGACCTGCTCTTCAGGTGCAGCTTTTGGCCCAAGCCACTGCAGATTGCTGGAGCCCTGAAATTCCATCCAGTTTGAAATTTCACATCTCAAAGCAAAAACATCCATCACACCAGGTAACACTGGACACCATAGACATTTTGGGTTTAGCTGCTCCTCTTACTTCTAATTTCAACCCCTTAATATAATTTTATGTTCACTATACTCTGAATCACTTTGACACTTGATTTCCTCTCCCTATGCAGGTATGCTATTAAGCACCTCTCAAGACTCTTGGCATTAAACTCAGATATTCAACTTCCTCAAATCTCTTAGTGGAAGTTTCTCTTCTTTTTCTTTCTTAAGCTCCAGAATGGCCAGTCCTCTAGATCAGAGTCTGACAGCCCAACACTGAAGATTTGTGTGTGCACCATAAAATGGATTTTTAATTATTCAGATTAGTTCTTGCACCTTATCTACAGGCAGTAGAACTGTGCTGTCCTGAGACTTCAGCAGAATAACAAAAATGCTCCAACACATCAAGATCCTTTACACCGGTTACTTATAACGTCGTAATTGAGAATACTTTGCCAGAGCTGCAGCACACCTGACCCTGGCCCCGGGATACATTCCAGAATAAAACACCATCCTCAAGCAGGATCACAACACTGGAAGTTCACATTCAATACTTAATTGAGGCATACTAACCTCATTTTCAAATTATTACTCTTGGGCTACAGTGCTATCGCTTACAGATATGACTGTCCTTCAAGTGTAAGAGCTCAATTTTACTTTTTACTACAGTATTTATAGTCAGCTTTTCAAGCCATCTACATACATGCACGTGATTTGATTCACAGCTGTTCTACCAGTAGGTAGTATAAATAGTACATCAGTGTGATTAAAGGCATGGAAAAGGCAAACCCAGATTTCTACAAAAAAATTCCCCCTGGTGACAACTCCCACCCAAAATTACATTTCCAGACGTGTAATTTAGCCAACATATCGAGCTACACTTGGGGAGGAATTCTTCATCCTGAAGAGGGGTGGCCATAATAGGGACCACCAAATCCTGAAAAGCATGGAAAATTGCAGAGAGAATGACTATTACTGCATTCCCCCAAATAATAAGTGAATGAACTATCATCTAGTGGATTCAAAACAATGGTCCTTATACACAAAGCATTTAACCATTGAATTCACTGTTGAAGGGCACTGTGGATCCCAACAAAGAAAAAGAAGCACATACAATGTTTAAAAAAAAACAAACCAAACCAAAAAAGTTTAAAGAAAAAGATTTTCATTAAACAAAGGCACGCCTCGTGACCCTGAACTACAACTAACTGACAACTAAGCGCACACAGAGAGAACTGTCAACGTGTGACTGCGCTGTTCATTCTGCTTTTGGCTTTTACTGCCGGCCACCAGCACTGAACCTCCTGAGCTGCATGGACCTTTGGCCTCACCCCAGTAATCTGTACCCTTTGTACTCTTTACAAAACACTTCCACTGGGACAATACCATGTTATCAGAATTCCTTCTCTCTACGTGTACCAGTCCTGCTATCAGCCCTGAGACGCATACATGTAATGCATATAATCATGCTTCATCCAAAGATGGAAGTAATTTTTTAAAAAACGCAAACGAAAACCCTTAATAATTTCAAATTACTAGAAAATCCTGACAGATTCTTAGGTATCTTTCATTAAACAACAACGGTCCAAATAATTGTCCTAAAAGCCTTTCAGCTTTCTCAAAAAAGCTAAGCATGGCTAACTTGTTCGTAAAGGGGAAAAAGGAACCAAAACCACCCAAACAAGCACACGAAAAACACCAACAAAAACACATACCAAAACATCAAAATTTAAAAAAATGAACTACACCTGAAACTTTGTGGATCTACAGAAAGCGTAAAGGGACATGAAATTTATTGCAACGGAACTAGTCACTATTTGGAAAGAAATCACTCTCTTTCTGCTAAACTATACTACATAAAAGGAATTTATAAGGGTCCCGTTCTCAAAATTATTTGTTTTAGAAATCCAACGAATGACAATTCGACACGTTTTTCATGTAGTGTCCGGGAAGAACATCAGGAAACTTTAGGGAGAGCTCCGACGCCTCCGAAGGGAAGCCAGCCTCTCAGCAGGACCCATACGTCTGCGGGCAGGTCCACAGCCTGCAATTCCCAATTCCCTCAATTCCCACATACTCCTGACAGGATCGAGCGGACCGAATTCGGTTTTCCCAGAGACAGCGATGCCCCGCGCTGTCTGCCCCGCCGCGGCCGCCCTCCCACGTCGCTTCTTCCAAAGATTTCACTCCCAGCCCGCCCGCCCGCGGCGGCCGCTGCTCCCCCACCTCCGCCCCGTCTCCCTGCGCGAACGGCCCCAAGCTGCTCACGCCCGGTCCCTCCGCACAGCGCCATCACGAGAAGAGAGGGGGAGCTGGAGCGGGGGGAGCCGGGGCGGGGCAGCACGACGCCGGGGGCAGCTGGGCCTCCCCGCGACGTGGCCACGGGAACAACCAAACCGCACAGGGCCTGGCCGCAGGGCGGGGACCGCCGGCCGCGCTAGCCCTGGTGAGGCGCAAAGCGGCCGCGCGGGCAGGGCCGAGGCGGCCATGGCAGCGGGAGGGGCGCAGACGGCCGGGCCGCAGCACCCCCTGGAGCAGGCCGCCGCTCGCCCGGCGCGGGGCCCGGGGCCCACCCGAGTTACCTGCGCCGCGGGCAGTGCGATCCTCGCTAGGGGCCCGAGGTCCGGCAGCAGCGGCTCCGGCGTTATTACCCTGGCGGTGGGGAACGGGCCCGAGGACTTGAGCACCTTCTCCAGGCGTCTGAATATTAAATGGACGGCGGCGCTCAGGCAGCCCCGGGGAGCGGGCGGCGAGGGGCGGCGCGGCCGTGAGTCGATCCCGGTGCCGGTCTGGCCCCGTCTATGGCTCCGCAGCTGCTCCCGAAATGGCGCCCGGCCGCTCGCGGCTCCGCGCACGGCACAGGGGCGCCCAGCGCACCGCGCAGGGGCCTCTCGCGAGACTCACGGCCAAACAAGCACTTACATGCCCGGGCTCGCCGCCTCTCGCGAGATATTGAGCCCGGAAGCAGTGGCTCAAATGCTCGCGAGATTTGGGTTGCCATGTGAGCTTGTCACGCGCCTTTGCGCTCTCGCGAGGGCTCGCCCGCCTGCCGGGAGGGGCCGGGGCCGGGGCCGGAGGAGGGAGCCGGGGCCGCGGCCGCGGCGGGCTCGCGGCGCGGGTGCCTCCGGCCCTGTGGCAGTCCGGTGCGTTCGGAGCAGCCGTTCCTTCCCTGGCTCTGGAGGAGCCGTGTCCCAGATCCTTCAAGGACATTCTTGAGCCCCATGCCGAGGCCTTTCATAGACTCTTGGTTTCCAGCAGTCTGAAGTGGATTAGGTTATGGAGTGGACAGGAGGGTGAAGTTGTGTTCCTTCACCAGAAATTGTTCTGACGCGACGATTAAATAGGGCCTGTGGTCTGATCTTCGTCCTTTTGGCTGAGGGCTCGATGTGGTTCGATCAGATTAACAATGCCCGCCTTCGGCCGTGCTCTTCTGCCAGAAACTACACCTCCCTTCATGGCCTAGCGGTGTCTTGCAGATTTTTTTAGCCACTTCAATTCCGAGTAAAACAATCTGTCAATGACCTGCTCTTCAGGTGCAGCTTTTGGCCCAAGCCACTGCAGATTGCTGGAGCCTTGAAGCTTAACTCAGCAGGGAAGTAGTGTTTTGTGAAAAAAGCCCCTCTTTAACAGTGCTCGATGCTGTCTCATTAGCAATGCTTTGTTTCCCTCAGAGCTCACAGAATTGTTCATTTGTATTTAAATATAATAATACAGTTTGGGGCAATTGTTCAAGGTAGGACAGACAGCATTAAGTACGTTTCCTGCTGCAATCAGCATGAAATAAATTGTTGCTGGGGAATTTTAGGTTGTTTTGTTGTTGTTTTAGAAATTTGAAACAACATAAAGAGAAATTCTAAACAAACTTTGCCTCCTGAAGTTATAATTTTATCTGAAAATCCCAGACTACTGTCTCATTTAATTTCATTTCTAGCTAAGTTCCTGAAATGTTAATAGCAGAAAATCATCCTGCAGCTCTTGCCCGGAGTATCCAAGTCTTTCTAAGATGAAGTAGTCAACTAGTAGAGTTTGGAACATTTAGGAAAAAATTTCTGTTTAAAATTAAAAACAAAGCATTACTATAATAGGGTTTTTTCCAACCTAATCATTTCTGTACCTTTTGGTTGTAAACAAAATTACTAGTCTTACAGACAAAATGCGGTTTGTTGTATTTGTTCCCATGCACTGCTCTGGCTGCTTGTCTCTTACCCCTCGGCTTCCAGTCAGCCACCAGGTCTGGTATAACCATCTCCATGTTCCTTGTTCCCTCACTTTGTTGTGATTGTGACTGAAGTATGCGCATAGGCTCACGTTGGTGGATTTACCTTCGGCTTTTCTCTATCACCGTTTGCCGTGGAGCCAGGCTCTGGAACGGGTACACAGACATGGGGTTTTTTGTCTACTCCACTAACACACTCCTTGCCCATGGCTGGTGCCCAGGCAGTGTGGGAGAAAGGATGCAACCCCACGCTAGCAGTACTCACGGAGAGAGTGAAGATGGCTAATGAGGGACCTGGAGTAGTAAATAGCTGCACAAGCTGCGTGTCCAGCCCTGTTGCCAGACCCGGCGTATCGCAGCAATGCCCCGACCCATCAGCTGTCGACGCTCAGCTCCGCAGGGCTGTTGGTGTGGTCAGTACACACTTGGCTGGATTCACCTCTGGAGCTGAGGGGAAGCTCTCATTAACACACTTCCTAAAAAAGGTTTTCTTGTTTGTGGGACGGCTTGATTCGGAGGAGAGAGTGGCTCTGCAGTGCTGAGACATAATGCCGACTTATCGCCGGCGTTCCTTACTCTAAACCTGGCTCCGTACTCGCGCCAGGAAGTTCGTTCGCCTCAGGTCCAGGGTTGCGGGCAGGAGTTTGTGTTACCTGCGCTGAGAGGGGTAGGAGGAATCGCGCAGAACCAAAAAGCAAGCACGCCAAGGAAATAAAACCATTGCTTTCCCACACCGGGAGTCGAACCCGGGCCGCCTGGGTGAAAACCAGGAATCCTAACCGCTAGACCATGTGGGATTGCATACTGGCTCTTTATTCCTGAGCCAGTCAATTCCTACACAGCTCCGTCCCTGCACTGTCCCCTGTCTGCTCTGCTTCCCGCCTGCGCCGCCCGTCCGCGCTACGCGCTGCCCACCGCTCGTTTCCTGCTGCCCGCCGTTCGCTGCTCGCTGACCTCTGCCCGCACCGTTGGTCAGGATCAGGGAGTGGGGTGAGGGGTGCACGGCCACTCCCTCACTTACTTAAAAGATGAGGCTGGAAGTTGACAAAACTGAAGAAGTCGGAAATTACTAATGGGAAGATGAACAAATGAAGTACGACCTAAAAAGGCACAGAAACTTCGCAACAGCCACCGATGTGCTCTGTAACAAATCTGAGCAACGACAAAAGCAGGCAGAACAACTGCACTACCCAGTTTTGACCGAGGACAACCTTATCAGACAGGTACAAGGCAGGTAACAAGTGGCGCACTGAAGTGGCTGGCTGCAGATATGCAGGAAGAACTGACTGCTGAGCATGTGGAGGAGTAATGCTGGATGTTGAAGAAACTTCAGAATCAATGTACCTAAACCATTTTAATCTTCCAAGATGTAGCTGAATCCCTATATGTGGAAAATTCAGACCTAAATAGGCAAAGGAGAGAATTAGGACTATTGTAGTGAACAGAGTGTAAAACCAGCGGTGGTGACAGTAATGTATTTAGGAGGTTAGAGTTGCTACCAAGGCAGAAAACATCATTATGAAAAGTCTCCAATTTCCCCCACACTGAGTGAGTAAATGTTACATCAGCATATCATGTGCTTGCTACATTTAGATATCACAAAGGTTTGATTTTTGGAACAGCTGGTTGGAGAACATAAAAGAAGCGACTGGGTTTAATGCTGAGTTTTGTGAGGGGTTGTTAGAACAGTTATGCATAGCAGTGAGTATAATGTACTCTATCTGGTGACATTATAAAAACAACATCAACAAAGAAATTCCTGCCTCAAGAGGTTATTAAAAAATGAATAAACAGAAAGGATAACATGGTTGTAAGAAGCAGGGAGATTCTAAAATTACTCAGAACACTTGTATTACCAGAAAGAAAAAGCTATGGCTACAAAGCACCAAAAAAAAAAAGGTTATGGAAATATTAAATTAAAGATAAAATACCCTTCAAAATTTTAAGGTGGCGTAGACCATGTCCATATGCCAGCAGAGAAAATCCTGAATAGGTTATAAACGATCAAATTAATCTGACAGTAACTACAGAATGTAAATTTGAACAGATTCTCTTTCCTCGCATGGATCCCAAATGCAGCCCACTGACCTCCATGAGGTTGCTAAAGAAATGGACAAGGACTGGGTGACAGCCAGACAGCCCAGCTTTTTTGGCACACAATGATCTTAGTCTGTCTCTGAAATTAGGGGGAAATTTGCTCCCCAAGGACTTGACAGCAGTGGTGGAGAGATTTGAGCTTCTTCTATGTATCAACCTGCCTGTCCTCAGCTTCTCTTCTAGTTCTAGAACTAGATTAATCTCTTTCTCCTTCCAGAAGGCCTAGTGAGATGTCAATATTAGCAGCAGTGCCAGCATCTATGCCACTCCAATTTTGCTTGCTTAGGAATTGCATGTGAAGGAAGGGCATTTGACTTTGTCAACCATCCCTGAAGATCGGGACCAGGGGGAGGCAGAACTTTGGGTTCATTTCAACTGGCCATGCTCATGCTGTTAATCTCATCTGTCTGTGAAGTTGTTCTCAGGGCCCCAAGAGGACTAACAAGCACTCAGGCCAGCCTCATTGAGGGCTTGTGCCCCAGCCCTGCCCAGGAGCCCCAGTTCACATCAGCCCTGTGTGGCAGCAGCTCTCTCCACAGACAGCAGCAGGCAGAACTTTCCCAGGCATTTTCCTGTGGAAGGCTGTGAGAAGATCAGAGAAAAAAATGAGAAACAATTCTTATCTCCACTTGCTGCACCTATTGTTGTGCACATGTGGAATGCGTTATGGACATTTGTTTACCAAAGGGTGATTTCTTAATTGGACACTGGTAATGGTGTTTCGATTGACTGACCAATTAGGTCAAAGCTGTATTGGACTGTCTGGAAGGGGACGAGTTTCTTAAGGAGTATAGTACAGGATAATATAGTGTAATAAAGCAATTGATCAGCCTTCTGCAATCAGGGAGTCAATGCCAATTATTACCAGCTGGGGGCCTGCAGCAACAGACCTGGACCCTCGGGCCCTATCTGAGCTGCATTGAGGTGTGCTTGTCTCAGTGCACACCTCATCAATTGTCCATGCCCATGGCCATGCCCAGCCCTGAGCCTCTGACCCTGACCTGGAGCCTGCCTGCCTGACCTAACCTCAGCTCTGCCTTGTTACTACAGACCTGTCGTGGGCTGGGTCTGTTCCTGGTCACCATCACTGGCCTTATGCTGATCCCAGCCTGCAGACTGACTTTCCAAGTTGACCTCAGACTTGCCTCATCCCTATGAGCTGCTCAACAGTCTGGGCTACCCATGAGACAGCTCCACCATGGCAGGGCTGACCATGACCTCCTGCAGATGTGCTATTCTGGGGGACTACCGGCAGGTTGCATGGGGTTGTCCCCTGAGACACTGCTCTGTTGCAATCCCAAGTGTTTTCTCTCTCCTCTAACAGCAGCTGTTCACAATGAGCAGCCTCAGAGGTACAGAGATGGACAGAGATGCACAAGTTCAAAGTGCCAGCACCCAGCCTGAGTGCACAGCACTCAAATTAAAATATAAGAACCTGTTGGTTGAGTTGATCTGCTTAGTAGATCTCCAAGATGTTTAAAAAACTAACAAAGAAGATCCTTCAGAGGGGTCTGCCTAAGGTTGAATACCTCTTTG